GCATTCAAAAAAGTGAGTGTACTGAAAACAACATTCTATATATGTATATATACATATTAAACGGAGTATTGTCTAACAATACCTGTCATATGCTAGGATATTTGAAATGCTATAATATCACGGGGCTATGGCCAAAAATAACCGCTTAGTGATGGTATCCTCTCTCGAATTGGTTGTTATGTCTGACTTCTGCATTGGTGGCTTTCATGGATCCACGAGTCTCCTACTCTGTTAGTTTGACGTTCCAACAATAATATATCATATAACTTATTTGATGCTTTTTTTACAAAGTAGGAAAGTCAATTATTTCTCGTCATAAAATTCAAAACTCAATTTGTTAAATGGAAATGAAAAGTTAAACAAGTAACGAGTACTATTCTTTTTCCATACATTACGGTTCAACTTGGGCAGATCATCAATACGTAAAAAGCAAAAATCAACATCAACAATTGCTGCAGCTATTGTCATAATTCAGTTAATAAGTGTAGCACCGCAATTCAATGATTTGCAGCTAATACGAATACGAAAGATACCTTAATTAATTAACATAAAAATAGCTTATAATTCAAAATTTATTGGTTGACATTATCTAGCTAGGATTCATGATCCTGATCCTTGAAACTTCCTAAGCACAAGTTGATGAGAGACTTGTTCCAGTCTTGAGTGTGTTTTATTTTATCCAGACAAGAGTTTTAGTTTAATTTTATTTTTTGAAACACACTGGTCAGATTCAACCACGACGGTGTTGCCTCCTTTTATTTATTCACTTTGGTTATTCTTTGAATGATTCAAAGTGACATTCGCTCAAATTTTCGTCGATTCCTCCTCCATTTCCGCACTGTTTCTAGCTTAACACTACGGCCTACAGCAGATCCCGTTGACATTTAGATGTTCTTGGGCATAACTTGAGGATGAGAAACGAAGAAAAGGAGAAGATACTCTGTATATATAGAGTTTTGAAATTTCAACCTTATTAACCCGGACATGAATCATGATTAACGAGATAATCTTCTTCAAGTCAACCATACTTAATTAATATGATTGATCCGGTAACGGGTATGCAACTCAGTCGTTAATGGTTACACTAATTCTTTGATCTATTGTAAGTGCGTACAATCCTTTGATAACAAGTTACCCATTAAATCATTATTTAAGTTTGGGTAATTTCTTTTTTTTTATCCAAACCTTTTTCGGATTCTTTTTTATTAGTCAAACCTATCGAAATACTAAGAATTAACCAAATGCTAACTTTCAGTTAGCAATTTTGTTAGTAATATTGATTTGGTAACATGGTACTGACTTGGAAGAAACAAATGAAAGTCAACATTCCAAAATTTGAGTATTTTAACAAAGAAAAGAGTTACAAAGTTATGAACAATAACCTATAAATGACTAATATTTTGATGTATTACGAAAGATTTGACTAATTAATAGCTATTTAATAGGTTTGGATAATATAAAACAATCTAAAAAACATTTGTATAAAAATAGACATCACTATTTAAGTTTTAACAAAGTTAAACACAACCATTTAATGTATCCTTTATGCAAACATGATCACAAGTTGCAAGCCTCAAGAGGAAGAAAAATAAAACTTGTTGATGGAAACCACTCCCGTGCGCATGCTGCCAACAAATAATAATTTGGCAGCATGACTTGTTGAAGAAAAATAAAACTGATGTGCAATCTGTCGAGCGGGCTTCTTCTCTTTATTTTTCTTTGCCATCTTCCTTTGTGTTGATGAATCAACATTCCTACCATCGAATCTAGACAACTCATTCTCACCCGCATCCATATCTAATTATCTACAAATTTACAAAATATCATACTTAGATGTGCACTAATATTCTCGATTAGCTATATTAAGAAAAATTTGAATTATTCATGAAAACACTCGTCGATGCCGTCCGATTTTTTTCGGCCGACATTAACCAGGCTGGGCCGAGAGGAATACGCCGTTCGTCGGCCAAAAAATTCCTTCGGCCTGTCCTGGTCCACGTCGGCCGAAGGAAATCTCGAGCCTAAGCGTCAACGGCAGAAAGAATTTTTTGACTCGCTCCCTCCTGGGCTGGAAAAATCTTTCGGCCCAGCCATGCTTCTGCCTAAGATTTCCCTCAGCCGCCGTAAAAAATTGCCGGAAACTGTGAAATTTTGCCGGAAAAAATAACCTTTTTCGTTGGTTGGCGACGACAAGACGGTTGCTAGTGATGGAAGGACGGTGATGGTGACGGAGGTACTGGGCTCGGCGATGGAAATTTATTTCAAAGTGGGAAGTGAGTGTTGGTATTGTGGCATTTAAAGAATTCTAGTGACAAAATTCAAAATTTTTTTGGTTGACTGTAAATAATAATTTGGTTGGCGGCAAATAACCGTTCACTAAAAAAATTCATGATAGTCAAGATCATAAAGTATGGAAATCTTTAATTTCAATAGTGTATCATAAGAAGATGCAGTATATTTCTCTTAGAGTGAACTTGGTATTCATGCCTGGTAGTGTGGAGGCAAAGCAAATACAACATATATAACACCTTTTAGAAACTCAAGTGATCAGAAGGTTTTTTGTGAAGAAGTTCATAAGGTGACATATTCCCTAGAATGTTAGAAGGATTTCTATTAATGAGGAAAAAAACGTGTTAACAATTTGACCATTACTCAATGTGTGAATGTGCTTATAATTTGAGAGGGCTAGCTATTGCCAAAAATATATTGGTGTTTTCTTTCAGCCTTTCAATTTAGCAAAAAGTTTTGAACAAAAAAAAAAGTTATTTTAAGATGCCTTGTTTAATTTTGAGTACCGTTAAGTCATTTGAACTCTTGGCCTTAATCGCTATGAATTTTCTTCAAGTAAGTTTGTTCAAGTTGTGTCTTAACAAAGATTAGAAAAGTAAGTCACTTTTGATTAGGGGTGGCAGTCGGTCAGTTTCGGTTTAACCGAAAACCGAAAACCCGGTTATCGGTTAAATCGAAACACCACCTATAGCTGCCGACCACCGACCGAAGAGAGGTCACGGTTAGTCGGCCAACCGACCGGTCGGTTCCGATTTTAGGCTCGATTAGCCGGCCAACCGATAAAAATACATTTTTCACAAAAAAAAATTTAAATAAAACAAAAAAAACTCCACCTCTCCTTCCTTATCTCCTCCTCTCTCCTTCCTTCCTCTAACAGACCTCTTCTCTCCCCTTCCTTATTCTTCTCTCACCTTCTTTCTCCATGGCCCATGCCAACAGATCTGCAGCAGGCGGCGAGGCGACGGCGGCGAGGCGCGCGGCGAAGGTAGCGCGGCGACGGGCGGCGAGGCGCGCGGTGCCGGGGAGGAGGTGGGTCGCCGGGGAGGAGGAGGTGGCTCGGAGTCAGAGCAAGTTGTGGTGGGCTGGTGGCGGTGGAAGGAGGGGTAGCGGAGGAGGCAGGGGAGGGCGGCCGGAGTCGTCGGAGGAGGGAGGATGGAGGAACGAGAGGTCAGAGGAGGGAGGATCAGAGGATGGGGGCGGCTCTCACGGCTGCTAGGATTTAGGGAGAGGTGGCCAGGTGGGTAGTTTTATTTAGGCCAAAACGGGGTCGTTTAGCGTCGGTCGGTTAGCGTCGGTTAGCCGGTTAATCGGCCTCGGTTTTTCAGCTAATCGCCTAACCACTGAACGCTTCCGACAACCGACCGCCACCCATTTTTTTTTTGTTTCCGGTTAGCCGCTAACCGGCGGTTACCGGTTAGACCAGTTGGTTAGCAGCTAACCGCCAATGCCGTCAAAAGCGCGATTCTACCTAAAAGCGTAAAAGGGGTAAAATCGAAAAGCAGTGAATCAAAGCGTAAAAGCGTAAGTTTTTATGCATCCTGTATAATAGTTAAAAATATGTTAAATACGACATAAACTATGTAAAATATGAGTGCACAGAGTTTAGATAAAAGAATAAATACCTGCAATTCATATCTAAATTAAACCAAAGTATTATCGAGCCATGACCACATGGCTCTTCCGTTGTACTCTTCGATCCATCGATCTCCCACCACTACAACAGCCACCGTTGTTTCTGCCTCCACCTCTATATTAATTAATCGTACAATGCAACTCTTTGTCCTAGCAACTAATAAAAAAATTGCTTTCCCCTTCATTGAGTAGACGACGAATCTTCATAGTTACTGATGTACAATGAAACACAACTACTCAAATTGGTGAAGACTGAAGTGGCGATGGGCTAGGACAAGGAAGAGACAGAAACTAACCAGTTGTGTCGTCGGCGAGTGGCGACAGGCGATGATGAGTCTGATGGGCGATAAGCGACGGACGCTGCCGTGTTGGAGGCTTGGAGCCTTGTAGCAGCTGCAAATTCTTCCCTGGAAGGTGGTGGACTGGCGGCAACGGTTGAAAGCCTTGTAGCAGCTGCAGATTCTTCGCTGGAGCCTGGAAGGACTGCCTCGTGACGGCGGCGACAGGCGATGACGAGTAAGGAGGGCGGCGGCATGCCTGCCTCATTGGAGTGCTTGAGACAGGAGACAACGATTAGGGATTTTGGAAGAGTTTGGCAGCCTCGTCCCGATATCCACCCTATTCCCTTCTTCTTTTTTGTCCGAAGTGCACAAAACGGCGTCGTTTTGGTTTGGTGGAGGCAGTTTTCTCCTTTGCTTGAAATCGGATAAAATCGGTTTGAAAACGCGATTTTATACGATTTCACTGATTTTAACGATTCTACCAACGCTTTTGACCGATTTTGAGTGAAAAACAATTTTATTAGTGATTTGAAACGTTTTCCTACCCTAGAAACGTAAAATCGTACGATTTTACGCTTTAAAGCGCGATTTTGACTACACTGCTGACAACCCTACTTTTGATATGGTCTCGGACTTGTCTTTCATGAAAATTATCCAAGTTACCCTGCTGTAATAATCTACAGTTTTGAGAAAATAATCAAATATACGTCAGTATTTAGCCAAAGTTTATGTCTGAAGGAAACGAGGAGCTCCTTTGAAGAATAAGAAGAAAAAAAACGCAATGTTGGAAAAAAAAATTGTGCTCGAATAATATTACATTTCATATAACTGAAATTTGGTGGGTACAGATACACGCTCATCGTAATTATGCATGTGTTCACATATGGTCTTAAAAATCACGAGAACCTCCACTTCTTCTTACTCAGCGTAGAGATCTCCAAAATTCCAACTAGATCTCAAATTATTGAAAAACAGAAACTACTAATTACCACCCCTTCACTCATAAAACACGTAGGATATTATTACTAACAACCAAGTTTCCCTCCATGAAGTAGTGGATTTTAATCCTTAAATCATGCGTCTTGGATTAATTATTAGTTAATTAATCCTCCTGCAGTTCCTCCTGACCTCTCCATTAGTCCCGGTCAGCGGGCTGATGTTCCCCATCCTGACCATAGCCGCCGCGAAATCCCCGAGGAAAGAAGCGGCGTTGTTGCTGTAGCCCCTGACGGCGGCGTCCTGGGATCCGCCGTTGAAGAGCTCCTGGTCGGAGTGGAAGAGGCCGCGGCGGGCCACCAGGCCCCTGTAGTAGTCGTTGTCGAAGCGGGCCGGGGTGGTGTCCATGGGGGCGAGGTTGGCGTCGCCGCCGGTGGCCGGGCAGTTGGCCCTCCGGGTGGTGGCGAAGGCGGGGTCGATGTTGGTGTCGTTGTAGATGCGGCCGCGGAAGGTGACGCACCTCGCCTGCCCGATGGTGTGGGCCCCGGAGAGAGCGGTCAGGTCGCGCGCGTTCAAACCTTTGTTGGAGAACATGGTCACCAGCGTGGCCAGGCTGGACGTCGGCGCCGGTATCTGGGCGTTCGCCGCGCTCTGGCTCGCCGTCCGGGCGTCCCGCCGGCCCAGTGGCACCGTCCACGATTGCCCGCCCACCTGGAATCAGTTCATTTTTAGCCGTTTGACCAATAGTAATACTTTATCATTTTTATGTTTTAGAAGTTCAGGTACTTTAAAAATATTAAAGTACTTGAACATAAATTTGTCACACAAATTTTTTGAATCTATAAATAAAATATTATATTTTAGATATAGAAAAATAAATTTGGGTATAAAAAATGTAATTACATACCAAGACGACTCCATCTCTGGCGGCGAGAGCGAGGATGTCAGCGCAAGAAACGGTGGCGTTGCAGGCGGCCTCGACCCTGGTCTTGATGGCGTCGATGACCTCGTAACCTCGGGCGGAGTTGCGGTTGGGTCCCGCGTTCTTCTCACCGGTGAAGGTGGCGGTGTCGTCGAGCAGTATCGAAGCGTCGCAGCCCTGCATGCGCTCAACAAATCAACGATGCATGCATGATAATATATAATTCTGTACTGTAATGATAACTTCACTAGTTTTGAACATGGAGAAAAAAATCAATTTTCGTCACCCTTATATAAAGGGAGGAAGAAGAAAAAAAAGCTGTAGTACGTACGTTGACGAAGCAGTCGTGGAAGAAGAGGCGGAGGATGGAAGCGGCCATGCGGGCTTCGTTGTTGACGGCTTGAGTCATTGCATTGCGGACTATGGTGAGGAGGTTGGGGCAGGAAGTTGAGTAGAAGGTGGGTGAGAGTTGGGCGCTGCCGGGGGATGCTAACAGCGACGACGCCAAAAGGGTGACGAACAAGAGTTTAGCAAGAGACGCCATTTGGAAGGCTGGGTGAGTAAAAGAAGCAGCAGAGATGGAATGGAAATTGTGGTTTTGTGATGATGGAGTTCGTGGTGTAAGTTTCGCTATTTATAGATCCATTGAGTTGGCGTTTGTGCATGGAAAGTCTAAGTAGGGAGGGAGGAGGTATTAAATGTGGATAGTACGTGTGCCCCACTTTGCTGGGGCGGGGGAAAAAAACAGCAGAGACGGAGATATTTGTATACCAACCTTTTGCTTTTCCTGCACATTAATTAGATACGTACTTTGATTTCAGCAAACCAACCGTCCAATTATGTAATCATTCTGTTCATTTTCTGAGACCTCAAATTGTATGTGATGTTACCGGTATTGAATTTTTCCAGTTCTCGTTTCACAATGAAGGTTTGGCATCTATGAAAGCAACTACGTATACTGCTTGGCCTCGCAATTATATTGTATCATATAGAACACGTTACTTTAGCGCATAATGGGAAAGAGATCATCATTTTAGCAAGGACATGCATTCTGCTAGTAGGATGCAATTCATCTCGTCAACAACTCGAGACCAATCATTTCTTGACAAGGTTAGAGTGTTCTGTGACCCAAAGTCTTATGTTTGGATCCTGAAGACCACCATTAATTTATTATGTTAAACACATTTTATCCGGATATATGCAAACTTCAAATTAATATTACTCGGCTCACACGTTTGCAGTATTAATAAATGATATATGGTTTATAATTAACCTCTCCCAACAACTAAACTTACTTGGAGCAAAGTTGACAATTAATCTATTGTAGGTGCTAATTAAACAACTGGGGCCTTCATTTAGTGGAATTCAAAACATAGACTTCTCGCACTTGTAGTGTTTTTTTCTTGCAAAATTTTCAATCTATTTCCTATATTCTATAGTATACATGCATGCGTAGCAGTTTATGAGTGCTGTTTTGTTTTCCACCTCTAGCTAGCTAGCTAGTGAACAGCACGTGGGACCAGCTGCTGGTAAACAGAAACAGGCATGCAGAGACGACGACACGACCATTTTAGGTGTGAAACAATAAAATAAGTTTTGATTCTCTTCACTAGTGTAGCTTAAGCATGAATTCTAATATGCACTACAAACCAACCTCATGCAGATTATATACTTGATATACAACAGTAATTAGAGTTACCAAATTATGAACAATAGAGCTAACGCAACAAAAACAAATGTTATCTGAGCATCAATGTACGTAATTGCAAAATCGATATTGTTATTGTCATCTCAAACTATATGCAATCCCACTCAATTTTATTTTATTGCCACCAATCCATAGTCAAAGAAGGTAAATAGGACCAAGTGGCAATCACTAATATTAACCAACACCTAAGCCAATAATAATACCATATGATCAATTGACCATACAATACAAGTCCAGTCCATTTTTTTAACTTATAGACATTGGCGGAGCTACGTTGAATCTAGAGGCTATTAAAATTTGGTAAATTTAACAAGTAAAATTTGTAATAATTTTCGAAAATAGACTAATTTGTAATGGCTCTACCTAGCTAGCCGCCTCGTCCTCAATACCCATGTTAAAATCGCTCAACGTATAGTTTTTAGCTCTCTTGTTCATATTTTTAGCACGGGAGACTGCCAACAAACACTAATAACTGTTGATCCGCTACGACTGGTAATCGGGGGTATGGGCTCAATGTTATTTGGGTTCGGGTTTTGGGCCTGGTCTGTAACCGTTTCCTTTGCTAGATTGGATTAGGTTTAGACCCACATGGACAAGTACTATAAATACTTCTCATTCTCCTCTGTAATTTGTAATCTCCTCAGATATAGTGAAACTGGCTCTCTCTCGCCCGTGGACTAGCTAACACACATCGTGTTAGTGAACCACGTAAATCGTGTGTCTGTGTTCTTTCGATTCTCGCTTTCGTATTCTTGCTTTGTCGATTCCGGCGGTTTCCGATCCGTAGCAGCGCGTTTGTAACAAGTGGTATCAGAGCCTGGTTCGGTGCGGGGTGGTGGACGTCAGTTTGGTGGACCCTCATTCGGTGACCTCGGGATTTGCGATCTCCGTCTGGTTTGGTGGATCCACGAGAGATCCACGTTTGGGCTCATCTGGCGGATCGAGGGAGGTCCGCGTTTGTCTAGTGGAGAGATCCACGTCTGTTTGGCGGATCAAAGAGAGTTCCGCGTCTGGGAAAATCCTTGTATCGAGAAGCCCATCGATACAAGGTGTCTGGCGGATCAAGATAATCGCTGAGGTGAGGACACGAAGTTCGTGGTCCTTGTCTTGAGGGGAGGATTGTTAGGGTACAATCCAAGTACCACATCGGAAATACAAGGGAAGGAACCCTTGTATATTAGAGTCCACCTAGCCCAATTAGTACGAGGCCTTTTGGGGAGGACACCCAAGAGTAAATCCGTGCGGGCTTGGCCCAAAGCGGACAATATCGTACTAATTGAGCGGCCCGGTTATGACAAGTGGTATCAGAGCCGCGGCTGGAAATCAGGCTAGGGTTTTCGATTCAGAAGAATGACGTCGGTGAACATGAAGATCGAAAAGTTCACGGGGAAGAACAGCTTCGCTATATGGCAGATCAAGATGCAGGCTTTATTGAAACAGCAAGGGCTGCGGGGGCCGCTGTCTGCGAAACAGAAGAAGGCAGCGGTCGATGACGATGAGTGGAATACCCTGGAGGAGAAGGCCCACTCGACCATCATGCTATCGTTGTCTGATGACGTCATCATTGAAGTCGCTGCTGAGAAGACTGTCGCGGGCTTGTGGTTGAAACTAGAGAGTCTGTACATGACTAAGTCTCTAACCAACAAGCTGCATCTCAAGCAACGGTTGTTTAGCTTGAGGATGCAAGAAGGTACGCCTTTGAGGGAACATCTCGAACAGCTTAACTCTATTTTGCTAGATCTGCGTAATATAGATGTTCAAGTTGATGACGAGGATGCTGCCCTAATCCTGCTGATTTCTTTGCCGAGTTCATATTAGAATTTCGTTGATTCTTTTATTGCTGGTAAAGAAAGCGTGTCGTTGGAGGATGTCAGGTCTGCTCTTCATACGAGAGAGATCAGACATAAGGCGTCCGGATCTGGTACAGGTGGTGAGGCATCGGGTTTGGCTGTTACAGGTGGAAAGAGAAAGAAGAAATGTGGTAAAGGGAATTCGAGCAAGAATTCCAAGGGTCCCGGTCCACAGCCAGGTGATGCTTGTCACAACTGTAAGGAAGTGGGGCATTGGAAGTACAACTGTCCCAAGAGAAGAGGGCAACAGAAGAAACAAGGTTCAGTTGCCGTGGCAGAAGTGGACAACAGTTCTGAAGACGATCTCGCCTTGCCTGTAGATGAGAAGGCACATCGTGGTGATGTGTGGTTTCTGGATACTGCAGCCTCATACCATATGTCTCCGAACAGGGATTGTTTCACAACCTACGAGCAGATAGATGGTGGTAACGTGGTCATGGCTAATGGAGCTGTCTGCAAGGTTGTTGGAATCGGGTCCATAAAGGTTCGGACACATGATGATTCGTTCTGTACCGTGAATGATGTCAGGCATGTTCCACGAATGACAAAGAACCTGATCTCCTTGAGTCTACTCGACAGCAAGAGCTTCAGCTTCAAAGGAAAAGGTGGAGTTGTGTATGTCTGCAAAGGTTCGAGGAAGGTATTGAAGGGCGTGAAGCGTGGGACCTTGTATGCATTACAAGGGTCTGTGTTGTCTGGTTCTGCTGCAGTTGCATCGTCTCAGGTTCAACAGGAAGATATGACCACTCTCTGGCACATGAGACTGGGGCATATGAGTGAACGGGGAATGCAAGTTCTATCGAAGAGGGATCTTCTTTGCGGGTACAAGGTGCAGAATTTGGAATTCTGTGAGCATTGTGTGTTTGGGAAGCTACATCGCAGCAAGTTTCCCAAGAAGGGTATCCACCGGACGAAGGGGATACTGGATTACCTCCACTCCGACTGTTGGGGTCCTTCACGAGTTGAATCCATTGGAGGCAGCAGGTATTTTCTGTCTATTATTGATGATTATTTGAGATTTACTTGGATTTTCATGATGAAGCAGAAAAGTGAGGCTTTCACGAAGTTCAAGCAGTGGAAGACATTGGTGGAGAATCAGACCATGAAGAAGATCAAGAAGCTACGAACGGACAATGGTCTGGAGTTTTGTAGTTCTGAGTTCAACGAATTCTGCAAGGATGAAGGGATTGCCCGTCATCGGACTGTTAGAGATACACCCCAGCAGAATGGCGTTGCAGAAAGGATGAACCAGACATTGTTGGAGAGAGAACGGTGCATGCTCTCTAATGCTGGACTAGAGAGAAGATTCTGGGCAGAAGCAGTAAACATGGTGTGCTTCCTGATCAACCGTGGACCTCACACTGGTATCGAGTGTAAGACTCCTTATGAGGTGTGGTATGGTAAGCCTGCTGATTACTCTTCACTGAAAGTGTTTGGGTGTCCTGTTTATTATCATGTGGATGAGGGTAAACTGAACCCAAGGGCAAAGAAGGGTGTATTTGTGGGTTACGGAGATGGAGTTAAGGGATTTCGAGTCTGGTCACCTTCTGAGCATCGAGTTATACTTAGTAGAAATGTGATATTTGATGAGAAGTCTATGTTTAACCCCATGTTGAAGGTCACTGTTGTTGAAGGTAGCAGGAATGTTGATAAGCAGGTGGAGCTGCAAACTCTCAATGAGAGTGAGTTTGAGCACCAAGGTGGAGAAGATCAACATGATGAGGATGTCTCTGCAGAGCCAGAAACTTTAGAGTCCAGTGCACGAGCTAAACAGTCTATTGCTTCCGGTAGACCGAAGAGAGCGACTGCAGGAGTACCTCCACAGAGGTATGGCTTCGAGGACATGGTGGCGTATTCATTTCAGGTTGCTGAGGAAATGGATGCAGGAGAGCCACAGTCCTATAAAGAAGCAGTTTCGGGTGGTGAAGCTGATCAGTGGCTTGCCGCAATGGGAGATGAGATGGAATCCCATGACAGGAATCAGACTTGGGAGCTAGTCAAACGACCACAGGGAAGGAAGATTGTTACAAACAA